ATATAAATATATATGGTGATGGGTTTTTTGTTTTTTGATGTAGTGCTAAAGGCATTGAGGAGGAACTGTGGGCTTACTCTTATTGTAGCATATTGTTTTATATAGTCTTTTTGTTCTTGTCATGTTATTAATGTGTGTATATGCACTTCGAGCATTATTGGAGGCCAGTAAAGAGAATGCAGCTTCTTATGGTATACAGAAGAGAGAATATAATGTCACTGTGCAGTAAATGGACTAAAAAAATATTCTTTATTTTTTCACAGCTCACACAGCCCAGGGGTCTCTGGAGTGTTGTGTTCAGACAACCAAGGACTGTGTCTAGGTGGTAAGATCGAGAAATCAGGATTCCGATCTGGATTTTTCAACATGTCTTTTTGATGTGGATTTTGATGATATAAATTTTTGTGTGAAAATTCTTATTACCATATGGTCTAAATAATAATTCAACATGACATAATCAATTATGCAGCAGCATACTAGAAATCTTGTTTTAGATTGTAAATTTAGAGTTGCAGAAACTGCAAGTGATTTTGTAATTTGTCCTTGCAGTGCGAGGGAAGGCCTCTGCATCATCTTCAGGAGTGATTTCAGCTGTTGCTGAGAAGGCAGCCATGCTCGAACCAGGAAACCCGCAGCCAGTTTTGCTTCTTGAGTCAGACACTAGGTAAGGAGCACAGAATCCTATTTGGTGTAGTTTGTTTATGACAATAAAGAGGCAGTAAGATTCATAATATGATTTTATGAAAAATATATAATTTATATATTTAAAGATCATAACCAAAATAAAAAAAAAATTACTTTTTACTTTTTTATCTTTAAAGATAATAAATAATAAATTAAAGGGTTAAAAGGTTAAAATGGAGCCTTCCAATTTTAAATAAATTGAATTTAAAATGTCAAGTAATTTTGATTTTTTTTTTTTTCTTTTTTTTTAATTCTTTATACATTTTATTTTTCATTCTTATTGTCATACTGCAAACTGCAAGCTTAATACGTATTAATGAATGTTAGTGATATCTTTTCTATCTCATCCCCCAGCCAGTGCCTGATTCACCGAAGCAATGGAGTCACGCTTGCTGTTTTCAAGAGTCCTGAGACCACCTAGAGATGTGGCTCCGTCTGTGATCTGGGATGCAAGTTCCTTTGCTTCCTTAAGACTTCCCATGTGGATATTGATCCAGGATTTTTATTTGGAAATGTTTCAAGTGCTGCAGACAGAGCAAAGGTTGCACTGTCTTAATAAGTGTTATTTTTCAAAGCTCATATTGTTTATTTGATTGAGAATGTTATGATCTCTATGCAAAATGAGGTAATTATTTCCTTCAAAAGTTTCAGTATTGACCATAGAAATGTGTTTTTGAATCCTGTTGCAGACCATTGGTAATTTACTAGCTACCTCCACTATGGTAACAATTTAAAGTTAAATTAAGTTTAATAGAACTAAAAATTATATCAGCAGTTGAAAGTTCTATTCATATTCATATACCCAATTACCCAAAAATTGACTTTTTATTACTAATTACATCAAAAAGTTTATCATTAATATCAAACAGTTGTTAAGAAATAAAGACCTTGTTTAGTTCATTATATATATATATATGTATATTTTGTACTGAAAGCAGGTTTAACCTTTTAAACAAGCAAAGTACCGTCACCATATTTTCTTGTTGCCAAATATCAACCTTTTGCACGAGAAATTGTTTGTATGAACTTAATTGTGTATATTTTAGAGGTGGTTGATTTTTTTTCCCTTCCAAAATACTGTATTACGATGAACTATTAAAAGAATTTCATAGAGACATGTACATGTGTGTGGGTGTTTGTATAGTTGAGATACAGGTATAAATGAAATAAAATAATGTTTTCAGACCCTTTTTTTTATGCCTACCCTTTTTTCAAACTTTTATGGCTGCTTTCTTTATTCTTTCTTTTATTTTTTTCCTGATAGTCTCCCCTAGAACTCTTGTACTATATGCATACACATAAAGAGGGTTAATCAATGACATCTAGCATCAAAAATGATATCTGTTGAAAGCATATCTCAAAATTTTGTAGTGAAAGCACAAAGATCACTTACACCAGACAGGTGATTTGCATTTACTGTCACTTGACAGCCTGTGAAAATATCTAAAGACGTATGAAAAATAAATCTAGTATTGGAATTATGAGAAATTACAATAAAACACAAAATGCCATGAATACACAAAAACAATCACTGAGTGGATTCCACTTTAGACAAGAAAGCAAAACAAGATTAAGCTTGAACTGCAAAGACCCATGAACATTATTCATCAGACTTGCATCAGTCCAAAATGAACTACCATAAGAAAAGAAAGAAAAAGGAAAAGAAATACTTAGAATAATATTAAAAATGGGGAGAAAAACAAAGGAATGAGCAATCTTTCTATGTCAGTAAGCAAAGATAACGTAATGGAAAAAGCCATTATTGCAAACCCTTTGGATATCTGTTGTTGCTTTTCAAAGGTTAATAAATGACAATCTTTGTCAGATTCACTTGATACAAGTTCTTCTGTATTTCTAAGGTAATAGATTAATACCTGTATACTCTAATAACAATATTCATGTACACAAGATAAAATATGTACAATAATGTTTAATTTAAACAACCTGAAATTTGCATATATTAATATCACACTTTTTTATTACCTTAATAAGAGTACAGATTCAACAAAGTTGATTAAATTAATCACTATCACTAGTACTGCAATCATACCCAACAAGGCTACTCGGTGTATTTTGACTGCCAAGAGTCATACCACTACAACTCTGACTGGCCTTGCTGTGGTCTGTTGCCGAATCAGGCACATTATTGGATGTTGGTGTTTCCCGAATCATGTCATTGTATTGGGGTGAAGTACTGTGTTCTCGTTTTTCTTCATGAGTGGAAGACATGGTTTTTGGATCCACATCTTCCCTACTGCTTTCCTCCTCCTGTGGCGAATGATTGGAAGACGTCCCTGGGCAAGCCTTTTTAGGAATTATTCCCAGATTTTGTGGAGCACCAGAGTTCTTGAAGTTGCTAAAGTTCTTCTGAGATTGGTTGATGATACCTGTTAATGACTGGCGGGCATAGGCCTTCTTCGAGGATGGGGAGATCTTCTTGTGTTTCAGGCGTGCAAACACCGATTGGGCATCAATCAGTGTTCGTTTTTCATTTCGTAGCTGATCCGATGTTTTTGACTGAAACAAAGGCAAGAAATTTTTCTCATTTTTGTTTACTTATATATATATCTATACTTAAATCTATCTATATCTATCTATCTATATAAATACATATATGAATACATATAACTATGTATATATATATAAATTTAAAC